TCTGTCAGAAGACCCAGTGGTGTCCCTATCATGTCTCATTGCCTTCTCTAGAAAGCCATGGCACAGAATGGCCTCGCTGTCTAGCTGGCCTCGATACCAGAAACAACAGCATCCTCAGAAAGCCCCGTATTTCTAGTCTTTAACGAGCAGGCCAGTAGCAGTGTCTTCCGAGTGGATGTGGCCACCTGTAGGCACTTGGAGTCCAGACAGCCAAGCTGATTTCAGCTTCAGCACCGGTGGTTGTCAGCACTGAAGCTTAAAACCAAAAGTGAAGCAGAATGCATTCCAGGCATATGCCATTAGGAGATTAAAGCAGAAGGAGGGACAGCATGGCACATGGCATTCTCCGGGAGAATGCTGCCTCGAGCCCTTTGGCACGGAAGCTTCTCCCCCAGCAAAGTGCAGCTCTCCTCTCCTCCCCTCTGCTCTCCTCCCCTCTCTGTTCTCCTCCCTCTTTGTCCCCGTACCTTTAGCCGAAAGGTCTGGGTGGGATTCAGTGGTGCCAGGAAAACAAACTGTCCCAGGAACTGCTCCTCCTTTTCTTCCGTCACCCCCTAGAGAAAGATGGGGTGGAGAAAACATGAGTGCCCTGGTCCACCATGGGAAGACTTAACTTCTGTTGGTGAAGTCCTGATTCATTTCATCTGCATAGTCCAAGGAAGATAATCACAAGGAAAAGACGAGAAGCTGAAGCTAGCCAGCATGCTGCCACACTTGCCTACTTAACGAGTGTAGGCTGTCAGAAAAGGAGCAGACATTCCCAGGGTAACGATCCCTGAGGATCACCAATGCTCACTGGCGTTGGGAGCCAAGAAGTTCCAAGGGGCAGACACTGTGCCAGCTCATTTTCCCTGTGGCTCCTGGGGCACACAGAGTCTTGGCCCAGAAGCTTCCGTTTGTGTGCTATATTGGATAAAAGAGGAATCCAGTGGAAAGGGAGCAACTCCAAGGAGCCTGTTTCTTCTGCAAGGCAAGAGGGAGCCGCAGGCCTCTGGGTTCTGACCCGTCTTCACCCCCTGCTTAGAAATGCTGAGCAACCCTCTGCCCCCAACTCAGAGAAATCACTTACGTAGACAGCAAAGTCCTTTGGAGCACTGGACATACTGTCTCCATGGAGCTCTGGCCCTGAGACATGGTCCATGGTGACTGCTCTGGGAATGACTGGCACAGAGAGCTTGATGAGGACGTGTCCCTGACTTCCGTGGAAGGGCCAGCAGTTTCCTAGATGATTTTCCTTCTGAAAGGAGAAGAAGAAAGTACGTTCCCGTGGAGAAGAGTGCCCCGGCTTTCGTTTCTGCCATGAGCATCATGGAGTAAGAACTGATCTGGCCCATCAGCTCTGCTCCAAACAGCATCCAATGCCTTGGGTCAGACCCTGCCAGTACCAAACGGAGCAGCCGTTGTGAGAATCCACATGTTACAAGACCCCTTCAGCACTGCAGAAGCACTGTGAAGGCAGGCAGCTGGGTGTGTTCCCACGATCAGTGCCAAGGAGGGCTTGCCAACACAGAGTGGGGCCCTCCAGCAGTGCAGGCTCTCAGCCATGCTGACAGTTTGCACAGGGACGAGGAAGACAAAGGCTGCAGGACCAAGCCTGCCTGCTAGAAGCTCAAACGGAGGACCTGAGGCAGTCTGGGAGAGGAAATACTCAGCAGGGGGACAGTGAGTGGGTCCATACAAGAATGTGACAGGAAAAGAAAGCTTTGAGGAGCAAAGATAAGGGTAAAGGCAGCTCTCAGCAGCATGTGCGCATCCCCCCCACCCCCCCTTTTGCTTTTTTTTCCTGCTTCTTGGTGCTCCTACCTCAAGAATAAGCTCAGGAGATCTCACATAATCCACCAGTGGCAGGGAATACAAGATGACTTTTTCTGCCCTATTCCGGAAGGATGGACTTGTGCATTCGGGAATGACAGCAGCCCCTGGAAATTAAAACATGAGCACGATCATTGAGCAGTGTCAGGAGGAATATTGCACTGTTCACTTGAGAAATGCTTTTAAGTAGTCCTCCATCTCCTGCAGTGAGATTCCCCTCTTTCTTCCTGGCGTGACCCCTCTGGAACACAGAGCAGGGACTCATCAGGCTGTGGTAATGTCAGCTGCAACGTCAGCTAGGCTTTCTGCGCTTCAGATGGAGTCCAGCCGCTTCCAGAGTCCGTCAATGGGTACATTTTTAGGGCACGCTGTGGCCCTTGACTTCTTGCCCTTTCTCTCCTACCACTGAGCCTGTTCCAGGGCCCATCTCGTCAGTGGGCACAGGAAGCACTTTGGAACGAGTCTGTGTACAATGGCACAGCACCTGATGATCTGAGGGCGTAATCAGTCACTGGGACTTGGCTTTCTTCCAGCTTCTCCAAGACTTGATTGATGACCTCTTGAACAGCCTGGGGAAGAGAACAAAGGCAAGCGCCTGTTAGAAGGGAAAGGAATGGGACAATCATCTCCCCTGCAAGGCCAGCCAAGGGTTAGGGGGATGAGGTTCAACTCAGCTGTGAGGAACGCCCAGATTGCCTGGAAACCTCCCAGGCTTGCTCTACTCTGAGGAAGGTGTAAGTAAAGCAACTGTAACTCCCATCACGGCGCTCTCTTCCCCCATACAGAAGTGTGGAGCAAGAGGAAAGGAAGCGTGGTCACGCACAGCACTTGTTCCAGCCACGCCAGCCTTTTGGCTAGCCAGGACAGGGAACTGTAGAAGGATAAAGTCTGGAGGGAGGAAAGAAACCTCTGAGGAGAGCCTTCTGCAGCATGCCCTTCCTGATCCAGAAAAGCCTGGGAGCTTAGACTGCTTCAGGGCTTCATGGAGAGCACGCTCGGTGACATCCTTTATGCTCCAATGCAGGTGATAAAACTCTTCCTGGAGCTTCTGGAGCTGTTCTTTGAGGGTCTGGGCTCTGCTCAGTTCTTCTCCTATGTCGTTCCCTGCTGGCCTAGAAAAGCAAGAAACAGAGACTGTAACTGTTGTGGCTGGCCTCTGGAACACCACGGGCGTGCGAGCAAGGTTAAGAAGCCTGGCTCTGAATGACTGGCAGGGCAGGCATGTCTTAAGCAGGTGGGAGAGGTAGTTCCAAAGTGCTTAGAGTTTCAGGCTGAGCAGCAGCTTCCTGGCTGCCCGGGAACATTTGGGGAAACTGAGGAACACCTCCAGTGTGCCCAAAGACGCCACGCTCCCTATTACATGTGCCAATGTCTTATCAAAGCCAGGCAAGAGCAGATCTGAAGGGCAGCAGGTGGTATTCCCTATAGAAAATACTAACTAGAACAGCTCAGACATAAACAAGGAAAGCTGCAAGACACACAGAGGGCAAGGGAAAGGTGGCTGCTGCTGCCAGATGGTTCTTCTCCACACCATCTCTCTCCCCTGCTTTGCTGTAAACAGCCCAGGCCAAGCAAAAGGGTGACAGATGGGTGGCCCCAGTCCTCTAGTGGATGTGGGGAGCTATAGGTGACCGTTTGACAGACAGGAAGAAAGGGCAACGGGAGAAGGTCAGGAAGCTGTGCTAGGTGAAGTCTCTGTGAGGCAGGACAGAAACAATGTCCTGGTGAGGCCCAGGGGCAGAGCTCCTCTAAATCACCATCGAGTCAAGAGGAAATAATCTGTACCTCCGAGCCTTCTGGTCCCATCCAGAGAGGTGGAAACACTCCTGGAACAACAGTGAAGGGAACAGTCATCACAAACGGCAACAGAGCAGTGCTTTGCTGGAACCTATGCAGGCCCAAGTCTGCCTAATAATTCTTTTCATCGGCTGTGTGCAGTGCCACGGGCTGTGGAGACACTGATATTCGGTCCAGCTGACCTTCACCTGAATGACCTGCCAGGATGCCAACTGTCCCCAGCCCTAGCCACAGTGTTTTACTGAGTGGTACTTTATGTCCTGGTAGAACCAGTCTCGATCTGAAGAAACCTGAACGTCACCTGCTGTTGGGGATGCCGAATGTAGGAGGAGATGAAGGCCTGGCATCCTGCTGCAGCCCTCCAGAGGCCTTCTTCACCCAGCAGTCCCACGTGGTGAACACCTGTTAGACACACACCAAAACTCTCCTTACACTTAGAACTTGGTCTAAGGCTGGGTTACGCCTCGGCTCCCCTTTCCCTGGCTCTCCCAGGTGCCATAGTTGTTTCTCCTCTTGTAGTCTTTGAAAAAGGTTGTGAAAGAGGGCTCCACAGTACACAGATATTCCTTCCCACGGAACATGCTCCTTGTCCCGCAGAAGCTTTTCAGCTCCCGCGGGCAGGGGAGGTTAGCCGCTGCCCCTCCATCGCCTTAAGAGAAGTGGCTGAGCCCTTCCGTGCCTCCGCACCCATTCCTCTGAAGCGTGGGGGACTGGCACACCTCTCTCGGTTCTTCCTACTCTTTGCTGGGCTACTCTGGTCAGAGCGCATGGAGCCCTATCTCCTAAAGCACAGTCCTCAGCTCCGAGTTCCACCGAGACTCACCGAACAAGAGCAGACTCATGAGCAGCAGCAGCACCACTGTCTTCAGAGCCTTCGTTTGCCTACGGAGCAGCAAAGAGGAAAAGGATGGTGAAGCTGGTGGCACCCATGCAGTTCAGCAGCAGACCTGAGAGCAGCAGTAGGGACGGCAGGTCTTGAACCTAGCATTCCTGGAGTGAGGATTGCCTTGGTCCTGCATAAGCTGAGTTGTCACCAACAGCACCAGCGGGGTATTTGGTACAACAGCAGCTGGCACTGTTGGGTTAGTGACGAAGGGCTCTGGATTAACTCGGGAATAGAAGAAGGACTTGCAACAAAAGCTGCGACCACAATTCATGTCCGTGGCGGTAGAGAGGCTTCAGCCTATCCCCCGACAGTTCGAGAGCTCACAAGGCAGGAGGGGTTTTGTATCTCCCCTTCAGCAGCATTTCTTTAGCAGCCAGGCTATCACTGGCCCTTTTCTTTGCATAAATGCAGGCAAATGCAGACTGGGTGAAGATGGAGGGAGGGATGAATGTAAAAGCATGCTGGTAATCCATGTGGAACTAAGGAAATACCAAGGAAACATCTTGGTGGCTAGTCCAATGTGCCACGAAGCCTGATCTGCCCAGAGACAGCACACACCGCTCTGGAAGATGGAAGGTCCTCCTGCTTGTTCTAACAGGCTCACAGCATGCACTTCATTAAAAATAAACAGTCCTCTTATGGTCTTCCAAGAAGCAGGAAAGCTCAGGGTCGTAACCCATTCTGCAGAGGGTTCAAACATACCCTTTCAGAACTTGGCTCCACCATGACTTTCTCTCTTTATGCACTGAGGTGCAGGCAACAGGCATCTTGCTAGCTCAGTAGCAAGCCAACCACTGTGGTGTCTGTTTCCTCAAGAGCTGCAGTCTCTTGACATCTGATCTTCCACCCTGCTGTGTCTGCCTCAACACCAACAGTGCTTTGTGACATCAGCGGCAGCAGGCAACGTCACGACAGGAAGGCAGCACTGTGTTTTGAGGCAAAGTCCAACATGAGGGGGAGCAGGTTTTGCTCCTCTGCACGAGGGGAAACATCCTCCAAAACCAGACCGTATCCTCCCATCAGAGGTGGCAGCGTTCCTACTTTGCACCTGGACAGCAAGGACCTCTGGCTCTGTACCCTGAGCATGCTTTACGATACCCAAACTCTGGGTAGTAACTGCTACAGAGCTGCACAATGACAACATTACCATCATTGTCACGGGGCCTCAGTTCACAGCAGCTACAAGGGCCCTTTGGAAAGGCTCCCAGGACATGTTGCTTTCTCTGAAGAGGACCTGCTGCTGACCTGTGCCCAGTGTTAGCAGCAGAGCCCTCCGGCCACCGATGTTTCTGTGCCACCGCAGCACCACGGCCCTGACTCCATCAATAAAGCTGAAACGATCACACCAAGGGTGTGTGTTTCCCTGGTGCCCCTGTGCGCTGCCTGCAGGTGCCCTGGTGTCGTGTCCCATGGGTGGGTGCTTCTGTCTGCTGGGGGGCATTTGTCCCCAGCAGCCACCTCCAGGGATGAAGATGCCACAGCCTGCTTGCTCCTGTGCTGGATGTGAGCCCCAGCTCTACAGCCCAGCCCACCTCCACATCCCTTCCTGTACAACAAGCTCATGCTCCAGAAAGGCTCACATCAACTCTGGGTTATTTTCACACAGGGGCACCTTGAGGTACCTTCCTGCCCGTGATTTGAATGCAGAAACAGCCCCTGTATTTTGGGGGCACGTTTTCCTCGTCTTTTTGTCTTCAGAGGGCTCCCCAGGGCGTGTGGGTGAGAGGAGCGCCTTCACGCTCCCCGCCTGCGCTCTGTGACGCTGGAAAGGGGAGGAATGCCGCCGGCTCGATGTCTCCAGGGCCCGCAGCGCAACTCGCAGCATCCACTCCACCGGATCAGTGTCCGAAGCCGCCGCCTTAGGGCCGGAACCCTCCTCGTCCTCAGGCCGCGGCCTCGCCTCGCGGCTGCAGCTCCCCGCCCAAGAGGGGAACCCGGAAGCCCAGCTCGTTGCCTGATGGCTGTCAGTGGGCCCAGGACAGACAATCACCTTTGAGGAGGCGGGGCAAGGGGGCTTTTGGCTCCTGACCATTCATGTGAGGGCTGCCTCTGCCTCTGCTCCTCATTTGCTTTTCCAGAAAGGCTAACAACAGCAAGAATCTAAGTCTTAGGGGATGGGATAACCATTTTAGCTGGCATTCCCTAAAGCAGAGCGAGTGCAGCGCAGCCGCTGCACATCACTGAAACAGCTGCCACCACATCGTCCTCATCAGAGGATAACACTCAGCAGCATCAGGGCAGAGGAAGTAATTCCTATTGTATTGTGTGTCTCTGTCTCCAACTCCCCAGGGGCTCGCTCACCACTGTGGTGGCCCCAGCGCTGCCCTGAGCCGCTGAGCTTAAACTTCCCCTGTTTCAGTTTAAACCCCTTACACCTTGTCCTATTGCTACAGTCCCTGATGCAGAGTCACATTTGGGGGGTTAGGGCAGGGGGGTGCAGGCTTTCTGTCCTTGCTTTGGGTGAAGACGTGATACGCAGGAGGTTTCAGCAGCTCTGTTTTAAACGTCGTGTTGGCTGCACCCCTGTGAGCCAGCTCCAGTCAAGTGCAAACGTGCAGTCCATGCGTCTGGGCTCTGCTCCCCTTGCCTCTCCTTTTGCAGCATGGAGGAAGGTTACTTGAATAAAGAACTGCAGTTCTGCCTTTCTTTTGACCAATAAAAGGAGAATTCGCTAATGACAGGATGTGGGAACATCAAAGATCCTCAAGACACAAATGTCAATGACCACCGTAGAGGACTGTGGCCTCCGTTCGGTGGATCGTGCAACCTTAAGATAGCTCTTTTGTACCTTCATTTTTCCAAGTTACTTCCAAGTCTCTTGTGGCACATGCGATGCAATCCTGCTGCAGGTGGTGGTGGGTGCCGTGCGTGTGCTCTTGTGTGCTGTTGGGCCGCAGGTCCCTCGCTGGGGATCCTGCCCTATCTCCCTGTCGTGGGATGCTGCACCCAATGCAGGTCTGTGGCTACTAGTCTTGCTCTCCGCTGCAGCCCTGGTCCTGTGAAGACCTGGACCTCATGAGCGGTGGGGATGGCCATCATGTGCATGCCTGGGCTGCAGCGTGCCCTTCTGTCTCTGC